CCTTACTTTCATCTTTTTAATTAATATGTTTTTTTTTACTGATATGTAGAAATTGTCCTTATTTTCTTGATATACAGTATGGCATTTTTTCCCCCCCAGTACTGGGAATTGAACTCAGGACCTTGCACTTGCCAGCCAGGTGTGGTGCCACTGAGCTAAGTCCCTGGCCCTTTTTCTTTTTTAAGGACCTTGTGCTTTCCAGGCAGGTGCTGTGCCACTGAGCTAAATCCCCAGCCCTTTTCTTTTCTTTTCTCTTGGTACTGGGAACCAAACTCAGGGCCTTGTGATTGCAAGGCTGGCTTGATGCCACTGAGCTAAATTAAATCCCTGGCCTATGGCATTTAAGTACATGTATGTAATGTATATTGGTATTTCTATCACCTCAGAGCTATATTATTTGTATTAGAATCATTAAAAATCTTGCATAATAGCTTTTTTTGTTTGAGACAGGGTCTCACTATGTAGCCCAGGCTGGCCTCAAACTCACGGTTATCCTGCCTCAGCCTTCTGAGTGCTGGGATTACAGATGTGCACACTTAGCTCATATTAGCTGTTTTTGAAATAATTGTCAACCATAGTTATCCTGCTGTGCTATATGGATGAAGAATATACCATTGTGTATATATACCACATTTCTATTTGACATACTGATTTCAGTTCCTTTGGCTATATATTCAGTAATGGGATTGCTGGAGATCTATGGTAGTTTCGTTTTCAGATTTTTGAGGAACCTCCATTCAGTTCCCCTTAATAGCCATATTAATTTAATTTCCACCAATAGTTTAGGAGAGTTCCTCTTTCTCAAAATTCTCACCAACATTTGTTACTTTTTGTCTTTTTGATATAGCTGTTCTAACTAGATTAAGATGTTATCTCACTTTTTATTTTTGCATTACTGGGATTGAAAGGCATTACCTTGTGCTTGCAAGGCAGGCACAGTGCCACTGAGCTAAATCCCAGGCCCTATCTCACTGGTTTTGATTTCCATTTCCCTGATGATTAGTGATGCTGAACATTTTTTCACATGCTTGTCGGCCTTTTAGATACTTCTTTTGAGAAATATCTAATCAACTTTCTCCCATTTTCTAATTGGATTATTTAGGGGTATTGCTCTTATTTAGTTTTTTGAATTCCTTATGTGTCCTGGAAACAGGAGAGAGACTCTCCCATTGCTGAATAAACCTGCTTTGCAGGGCCTGTGTGGTGACTGAGACAATTTATAGTACACCAGCCATGGCTATTCATCTCTTGATATGCTAATTGGGCGTGGAAGCAGAATCTTTAGAGAAGTCAACTGGGATTCAGTGAGAGAGGTGCTTTGAATTTTGAGGTTGTTAAATTTACTTCTTAGGGTAACTATGCAGGTTCTTTTTTTTTTTTTCTATTGGGGATTGAACTCAGGACCTTGTGCTTTTGAAGCAGGTGCAGTTCCACTGAGCTAAATCCCTAACTTTTTTCTTTTTTGGTTTTTGAGACAGGGTTTCCCTTTTGTTCACGCTGGCCCTAAACTCAATACTATGTAGTCCAGGCTAGCCTTGAACTCGAAGTGATTCTCGTGCCTCTGCCTCCTGAATGCTGGGATTACAGGTATGTGCCACCATACCCGGCCCATCTATGCAGCTTCTTAACTTTGTTTGGAGATTAATAACTATGGGGAAAATATTAGAACTTATCATATGTAAGTTAAAAAAAATCCTGGATGTATTTCATTGCGGACCAAATATTCAGCAACTTTTTATTTACTCCTTAAGTTGAAGTAGTAGAAAGATGGCACTTGTTCATTCCTCTTCTAAAAGCTGATGGCTGTGCTGGTTGCTCTCTTCTTAAGGAATTTAGCCTCTCAGGCCTGTTAATGTTAATACACTGGCTTGCAGGCACC